AGGCACTACGCCACCAGAGCTCTGGGAAAAGCAGTCTAGAGCTCTTGTCATGAGGCCAGAACACATTCTTTGCAGGAACCACCTCAGAGCAAAAATAGTTCATGTTACTGGGGAGCCAGAGAGACTAACTCACTTCCAAGCATCTTAGATTAACAGCGATGTTGGTGCCCTTGTAAAGCCAACAGGAAAACCTTCCTTTTTTATTCCTCAGTCTGGTCTCCAGTTAATCCTGAAATTGCATGCAACCCAAGGTGAATGAAATAGAAAAGGAAAATAGTAATTATGCCGAATCAAATATTTTGTCTGTGTGCTCTAACCAGCCATTGAGCTTTAGAAGCCAGGACTTTCACTGGAGATGGTGCCTGTACTATGTGGGATTATCTCGAGAGTCACAGGCTCGGTAGCTCAGTAAGACTCTTCTCCCCTCAAGCGAAACACAGGGAACCACAATGTCGAGTCCAATAGATCCCAAGTACATTCCAAAACGCAACGCCATCTGCTTATGGTGGGGAAGGAAACACAGGTATACCTCGGAGATATTGCGGGTTTTGTTGCAGACCACAGCAATGAAGTGAGTCACGTGAATTTCTTGGTTTCCCAGTGTATATAAATGTTGTGTTTACACTACACTGTAGTCTAGTAAGTGTGCAAGAGCGTGATGAAAAAGTCTGAATTACCAAAAGGTGGCACAGAGACACAAAGTGAACACATGCTTTTGGAAAAAAATGGCTGATAAACTTGCTTGATACAGAGTTGTCACAAACCTTCAGTGTGTAAAAAATGCAGGGAAGAGGTAGCTACAGGGAAGAAGTGGGAAGAGAGCTGATCCACTGTGGGAAATTGCAATTAATGTCATGAGACAAAATATGTATGAACCGCTGTATGGAAAATGAATTAGCTCTGTAAACTTTCACCCAAATCACAATAAAAAATTTTTTAAAATGCAGTTCTGCAAAGTCCCATAAAAACCACATGCACAAATCTAGAAGACAAATGCTGTGCCTGAAATATAATAATAAACTCCATATCAGAATAAAAAGTGTTGCTACCTCCTCAACACAAGCATGTTTTTTTTCCACGTAATCCTAACACAGCTCACGCAATTCCCAGATTCCAGTAAGATATACCTGTCTCTGTGTGTATGTGTATGTGTGTGTACATGCTCACAGGTGGAACACTCATGAATAGTAATGGGAACAAGAAACAAAAAACTCCAAAAATCACAACTAGTGACACAAAGTTCTTCTTGGCATCATTCAGTGTCACAGTGAAGGGGACCTTTGGCAAGCTCAAGGAAGTTTCTAACCAACAGCCTCACCTGTAGTCACAATTTCAGCAAAGAGAGACAAGGAATCAAGTGTCAACTGCATATCATTTATCCTCTGCCTTTATGGAGGAAAACACAAAATTACATTTTTAAATTTAGATTTTTAAATTTCTTATCATTAACATTAATTTTTACTAATGAACTAGCATGGTTTTGTTAATACTCCAGTCTCAAATCTCATCTTCCTTGGAACTCACTGGACATTCCTTGTTCTTGTCTTTACTACTGTGGCTCTTATCACAGACCACATTGTATTCCAGTTACATGTGTGCATGGCTTATCTCCCTACTACTCCCAAAAGGTCCTAGTAGCTGAGGCCCCACCTACCTTCTTCCTGCCTTCAGTGGTGCAAGCCCAAAACAATGCACATAGTAGGTGCTCCAAAAAGATATGCCCATTGAATTCTGAACAGAAATATACCTTTTGTGTTAACAATGACTTTTGATCAGGGCATCTGGGCTCCCTGTTATTTGAGAAGTACGGGGTCAAGCGGATTGGTAACATAGGACCTTGCTTGGGGCCCTGTCAAACATGCTGTACTCCCGACACCTTTGAGAGCACATCAAATTATCTTAATTATGTTCTATAAAGACTGAGACTCCTTCAGAACATGGAGTATTCTTGAAGCCTGTTCAAACCTCTAAAAGGCAAGTGCAAGGCCGTCTGGAGTAAAACCTTCAACTTGGGCTATGCCTAGGGTTCAATGAACTAGCCACCCAGACATGGTGACCCTTTGCCTTGAAAACAATCATGGTCGTTTGCATTAAGAAATATCTATGTGCCCCCAGAGAAAGTGCTTAGCGATTAATTCTTTCAGATGCAGGATGAAAATAAGTCACTACAGCCCCCCCCCCTCAAAAAAATGATCAAACAGCTCCTGAGTGTAGTCCAGGGAAGACGAGGCTAATGTATGCATGTGGAGAGGCCAGGGCAGTGGTAAAGATTACCCCTATTTCTATACTGGCCATCTAAAGGTATTTACTTGGGTCTGTCTGTGTTGTGACAGTGTCCTAGACTCAAATGAATGCCTCTAACACTCCACATTTTTGAGCCATTCAGTCATGCATTTTTGTTATTGTTGAAAGTGGTGCGAAATTGCACTGCATGAGCTAAAGTCCTTGGTGGTCTTCCAAGGATTCCAGCTAAAAAGGCACTTCCTTTGTTCCTCAGGAGAATGCAGTCCAGTAGGTCATTCAAAAGGGGAAATAAAAGCGGCAGCCCTGGGAGGGAGATGAAGGACAAGACAAAAAGAATAAAACGTTTTGGGTGTGAGCACATTAGCTTCCATTTCCTGCTGCTGGCCACTAATAACTCCCCTATTTTTGGGGGGACAATGCCCAGAGAGATGTGTAGGCACGAATATTCCTCAGGTGTTTTCTGGGGGCAACCACCAGCACAGGGAGCACCCAGCCCAGAAGCCCTGAGCTGTCTTCAAGTTTCCTTTTTCCTGAAAAGGTTGGCCAAGGAAGACGCCCTGCCACTGCAAGTCACCGCACACAGCACACTTAAAGAAAGTGGGGAGGGCAACTGCACGACCCACTCCCTGAATGCCGCCAGTCCGTGTCAAAGGCACATATTGTTTGCAGGAGGAGAAGATGAAAACCTGTCACACTCCCATGAAGTGCGTCGCTGCCTCGACCCCTTCAAAATGTGGGAATGACAACTGTAACCTTCACGCCAATAATCTCAACTGCGCCCAGGCTCAGACCGTGCAGGGCACAAAGACCCCAAGTCTGACCTGCCAAGCCCCCAAGCTTCAGTAGCTGCTGGTTCACTTCACTTTTTCTGGAGGAGTGGGAGGGAGAGGAAAAGAAAGAGGGCTTTTCAAGGATCTCCAACCAATAAAATCAGGACATACTTAAGCTCCCAAAAAGACAGGCAGCTCAAGGGCAAAGAGTCTCTAATCAGGAGTGTAGGAGTTATTTGATAACTGCCAAGGTGCCGAGGACGTTTGGGCGGCTCCAACAGTTTCTTAGGTTCTATTTCTAGACAGAGGACGGTTACGCTCCGAAAGCAACCAGCAACTTCCCTCAATTACCTTTGTAATTTACTTGTAATTGATGACTGCACTTAATCTCCAAAGGTATTAATAGCCCTTCCAAAAAATGACCCCCAAGTCTTCGCGCGCCTTTGGAAGCGCCTGGTTGAAATTACAGTATTTCCTCTGCTGGCTGCCCGCCCCCTGCCCGCCCCACCCGAGCACCCAGCCCAGGGAGTCTCACTTCCATGAAAGGTTCCGAAGGGAGGCTCGGGCCCTGGGGCTCCAAGCGCTCCCTCTGCCGTTAGTTTAGGCTGGCCTCCGGCCAGCTAGGTTGGTGGAGCTTTCTGAACCTCCAGGGCGAACAAGCTACCTGTGCCGCCGGCGGCCCAGCACGGCCTCGCAGGGCTGCGCGCAACAGTTGGCCACTGTGAGTTAAGAGCTGCACAGAGGGCACCGATCCTACCACCGCCACCGGCCTCGCGGGGGGGGGGGGACGCTCCATCTGAGACGACTTTCCCAAATACCCCACGCACCACCCCCCGCCCCCAGCGCCAAAATCCGGAGAACTTTTTCACTGGCAAATGCATCTCCCTTCTCATAACCATCTCCAAATCCAAATTCGGGTTTCTTGTAATAAGTCCTTTCAAAGGTCTCTAACTGGAAGTGCAATTAACCCTTAAAGTGAGGTGAGAATGAGCCAGAAAGGGAAGGTGCCTTTTTCGCCCGACACCTTCCGGAAAGCAGGAGAGTTGCCAAAAGTCGGGGTCTGGAAGGGTGGGTAGGAGTAGGGACATAATTTGCTTTGTAAAAAGAACGCCTTCTAAAGCCACTGCAGCTACTTAAGACTCTTAATCCGTGTCAGTGGAAGCAAGGCAGGGAGAAGGTTTTAAAAGAACATCAATTCAAGTTCCACGTTTTGTCCCTCCCCCCTCGAAGCTGGCAAGCTCTAGGGGGGTATTTTTCCCCCCACTGTAGACTCCTTAGCCCGCACTTGGCCTCTCGTCACCCACACAACAAAGCGGGGAACCCAATTAAGAAGTTCAACCCGGAAAAGGCGAGGGAGCCGGTGACCCACACGGAGTGCCAGAGTCCTTCGGAGCTTCTCGGGACCGCGGCGAGCGCCCCGGGGAGGGAGGAGTGGAGGCAGCGCGCCGGAGTGACACTGGGCAACTGTGAGGCGTCCCTCCACGCTCAGCGCCCCGGATTGTGGGGGCCACAGTGCCTGGTAGGGGCACTCAGCTTCGGGCTGGCTCCCTCTGGTTGTCGCCGGCCCATTGCTCCCTCGCGGCTACCTGCGGCCGGCATGGGGGGCGGCGGGGCCCACGGCCCCTTTCCAGGGCCCGTCTCTCGCTTGCCTCCCAGGGCTCTCACCTACCGTTGATCTCGTAGGCAGGGGCATCATTCTTGTTGAAACCTTTGGACACGTAGAGACGGAGCACTTCTGAACAACTTTTCGACTTGTGCTCGGCGGCCAGCAGCGCGGCGCTGAGCGCGGCCAGGGTGCAGAGCAGCGCGGGCAAGCCGAGCCGTGCCATGGTGCGAGCCGGACGGGCGCGCTCCCTGCTTTGGGATGGGCCGGAACGCGGCGCGGCAGGCGCGGGGCGCCGGGGCAGGGACTCACGAGCGGGCGAAGGAGTTGGAGTTGGGAGTTTGAAGAAGAGAAGAGCAGCAGGAGGAGGCGGCACCGGGCGAAAAGTGGAGCTGGGCCTTGCGCGTCAGGCAACGGTCCCCAGGACCGGGCGCCCGGCTACGCGAGGAGGAAAAGGTGCGGACGGTGGCGCGAAGGCGCGAGCCGGAGACCAGAGATTCCGCGGGTCAGCGGACTGGGAGAGCTGGCTGCCAGTCGGCAGGGGCGCGGGGCGGAGGGGAAGGTGGTAGCGCCGGGGGGCGCGAGGGTGTGGACGCGGCGACGAGGGCTGGCTGCGCGGTTGGGCGGCCCGACGCGGCTCCGCTC